TCCAGATCGCTACATAGCTTATTAAATTACATAAAGTAAATATGGCGGAGAAACGTAGTGAATTCTAAAAAATTATCAGCGATAGATATTGATACCTTGCTCATACGCTTAAGCAGTTCTTGACGATTCCTTACAGTATTTTTGTCTAAAAAATTTACAACTTTTACAGTGGATCAGGATGTAATTGACGCCATAAAAACAAATAAAAACTCGCTTTGAACCAAAAAATATTTTCGTGAGCTTTGAAATTTTCTCTTGATCAGAATACTGTATGGTCTCGTCTAGAACTGTTTAAACGTGAGTAAGGTGTCAATATTTATTGTCAAATCTAATTGTGGTGCAAATTTGACACTGCGCATATGAATTGCTCACTATCATTTGTTATATATACACAAATTTTTGAAATTGTTGCGGTTTCTATTGCAGAAATATTATTAGAAATTCCTACGATTCGTTTGATTGGCAACGAGTTATCAACATCGAATACATCAATTATTTTACATAATGCATACTCTAACTCAGTATCTTCGTCGTAAATGAAGTCTCTTAATTGTACATGAGTCCCATTATTTGTTATAGCATAAGAATTGTTTGATCTAATTCTTTTTCTCCTTGATGTCGTGTATAGACAACCATCTTTTACCATTTTGGTAAAAGTTATACTGTATCTTGATAAATGTAGTTGTGTGACCCATTTATTTTTAGATTTGGTGGATGCGCCAAAGTATATAGCGTGATTTGATCTTGAAAATACTGCGTTTTTATCATCCAAATAATCAATATAAGCAAGAAGTGGACTGTACGGTTGATTTTGTAAATGCTGACGCAAGATGATTTCACTTTGGCTCATACTGATAGATCGACACAATTGTAATAAGACACCTTTTGCAGCGAGAATTTTTTTCAATAATTTCCCATTTCCATTTTCAAAACAGTAACCACTGTGAGCGAAAGATGGGCCCCAGTCGACAATACTCTGAGTAACATGTTGAATCTGGTGGACATTGTATGTCATACTTTGAGGCGAATATAAAACTTCCATCCGTCCCATGAATTCTAAAAAAAACTCGTGAGCTCGTTGTAATTCCGCTGCAGTTATGTTTTCTGTGTTGATGATATGATATGCTTCTACAAAGAGTGTCCAATGCTCTACATATGGTTGCATGCGAGGAAACTGAGACAAGATTGGAATACTGTAGATGCAGATCCAGTTATGCCATTCTATTCCTTTCCACCAACTTCGGTCTTTTATTCCTCTTGACAAGCGTGTGATTTGATTGGGAGCTTTTATTTGCATTAACAACCTATCAACTATCTTGATTTCATCAGCTGACAGTGAAAACGGAAAATTAATTGTATCAAACCAATACCCGGTTATTTGTTTTCCAATACCCTCATCTGCGAAGTGCAGATCATCAGGAACAAAACCATTCACAACATTAAAGCTTTTAAGGTTAATTAAACACGATGGCCTTTTTACGCCGAAAACCGGAACGTTAGAGTCTATACTAAGTTGAATGTGTTGTATCATGTCTAATTCGGTTCTCCTTGGAGGAAGTTCGTCTAACAAGACATATTTCACACAACCGCCACGAAGAGTTGGTACATACACACCTGGATGCAAGCACCACGAACAACCGAAGTAACCATTGTACTGAACAATGCCCTGCATGGGAGCTCGGGCACCGGAATCGACACAACAACATAATGTATGTATCTTCATGTTTTGCATGGTATTGTTCACTTTGACTTGGATTCCGATGGTAGATAATCTGTTAATCATTTCTACGCATGGTTGAAGGAACACATTCATATCTGGCTTGACTTTACCGAACCACAAACCACAAGTCACTGTTTTTGAAGTTCTAACATTATAAGAAAGTTCATTGATAATCATTTGGACAGGCCAAATTGAATACTGAGAGCTTTCAAAAACAGGAGCTCCGTCACTGTTGAATGTGGCTGTAACAAAGTTCTTTCTTTCGTTAGGTGGTAAGGATCTCACAAATTCTTTGTAAAAGTTTCCATCACAAAAGTCGCTGATTGTATCATATTGCTGAAATCTTTTTTGTATAACAGAATAAACATGCTCCCAGTTTTGAAAAATCAAGTTGCTGCAATCATTTGCCACATCGAAAACTACAAAAAAATTGTTATAGCAAGGACTTTTCAAATATATAACCTTCCGACAAACGTGACACAACATTTCCCGATCCTGTCTATTAAACTGACCAACATAACTGTAACAATTTATATCCGGGCAAACAGCATGGTATTCAACACCTTTAGATGAATTGAAAATTTTATCGACAAGGTATCTACTTTCTGGTAAAAGTTTAGTCTGTAATATACTATTGACGTATTTGAATAGATCGGCTAAACCAGTCTGACACAACTCATTTTTAAACCCAAATTTTAAACCTCCTAACATCAATTCAGCCTTATTTACGGTCACTGTTAACGTCACGTTCTCATCGCTACATAAAATGTTACGCAGTCTTGCAAACGGTTCTTCTTCTTCAGTTTCTGTATCGCCGTTGTGTTCTTCATTTCTATATTCTCTATACATTCTATCCTCTTCTTCGGAATCATCGTCTTCAGTTTCTAAATTTGAATCGTCTGTTCCAGTTTCACTCTAATGAAGAGAATAAATGTTTTATCATTCGGTGTAAAAGTAATTTGATACAGTACATAGAAAGTATATTCCGCCAAGTCGTAAACTTTTGCGTACCCAAACCAGGGCAAAAATGTGTCTTTGCTAGAGCACCCTGAATTTTTTTTTCTTTTCATTTGTCAGAAATAGAGATGAAACATATTCGTAAAAATTATAAAAGTTCGCATGAACAATATTTTTTCAGCATTTTCCATTTTTTTATTCGAATTTTTTTTAAACTGCTCGAAAATTGTTCTTATTTCAAATGCTTACTTTTCTACTTCCAAGATTGCTGGAACTTTTTTTTTAGAAAAGATTTTGTTGAAAAAATATCAATCCCGCCAAAATATATCATCAAGTTACTAAAAATTAGAATGACTTTATTTGCGAAATAAGTTGATTATCATATAAAAGTACCGAAAAAAGTGAATATAAAGTTTTCTCATGTTCGTGAGTATTTTTGATCTCTATATACCCTAAATAAAAGAGGAAAAACTTCCGGGAGGCCTAGCAAAGAAAAAATTTTTGCGTCGATTTTGGGTCCGCAAAAAATGTAATTTTTCCATAGATTTACTCATATACTCTCTGACAGACAGAAACACAGCAAGGTATCAAAAATTAATGTTTTTATATTCACGTAAAAAAAATTACAGGTAGTTTTACCTCTTGTGGTAATTCTTGATTTACAACATCCATGTTTTCACTGTCGGTAATTGATCCATTACGAGAATCAGATGACGGAGCGTTGTTGGATGTTGATGTTGAGTAGGTTGAGGTTGAAACTTGACCACTATGATGAGTAATTGTAGATTCTCCAGACGTAGATGTGTTTGAAAACCGAGCTGGTGTACGATTATATTCCTATACGTATTAAATCAATTGATAAGTTTTTAAAAGTTTCTGTATGATGATTATAACTGTTTGATGAAAATTGTTCATTGATATTCGCCTGGATATCCACCTAGGAATCAATAAATGATTCAAGCCTTTATTTACACAGCGTTTTTGCAAGCAAATAGGAATATCCAGGTAGAAATCAATGAACGCTTGCAATCGAAAAAAAAAATCATTTTAAGTTGTTCCTTGCAATGTTGCAAGAAAAACAATCGAATCAATGATCTTCTTAAATAAATTACAGTCCACTACAGCCATTTCTATTGCATTCATCACCACAACTATTTATAATTCTATTTTCATTTCTCATCAAGCCCCATGTTAACTTTTCATTGGAATGGATAGACGTGAATAAACCTCGTTTATTCCCAGTCTTCAAATTAAAATCCAAATCCACATCTTCATGTTTTTCACAAAAGTATCTTCCACAGTAAAACTAATCATTACTATTATTAAAACATTCTAGTTTAAGTGTGTAAAAAAAACTTTTTAAAATCCCTTATTGCAAGTTATAACCGGGTAGTATGCATCGAAATTTTATGAAAATTTGGAGCAAAATCTTTTTGAAATACATGAATTCATGAAAATATTCAATACTCACCCTAAACAACCTATCCTCATCTTCATTACTACTAGGTTCATAATTTTGAGCACGCAATCTTTTGTTGTGTCGCCATTCTGTGGTTCTGGATCTTCTCATTTTGAACTTATAATTATCCTGATACACGTACGTCTGGATAATACGTCAGATGAAATTATGATATCTGTAAAATTCAAAACGAAACATCTCTTTAAATCAAACGTCTATAGGCAGCCAATGATCATCGAAAATCTAAATGCTCGATACTTTATTTACCTGTTAGATGATGCAACTTCCCACTTGATTTTTCCGTGCCGGCTGGCTCAATGGTCACTCACCGTTTGTTACTGATGTGACAGTTTATAAATATTTCATACTAATGGAAATTGATATGATCGGTACTTTTCTCTCCTTGTAGCGAAAAATATCATTTGTCACGTTAATGTTATAAGGCCATCCGCTCAGAGAGTTGTTGATTTTGCGTTTGATTTTTCGGCAGTTGCGCAACCTAGCCTAACCCACTCGACATAGCTGACGCGATCCGGCAACGTGAACACTGATCCAGCTATACAAGACATTCAAATTCTTGTCTGCATCGATTTTTTTTAACAAGCGCGCACTGAGTCAGAATGTTTGAATAAATCAAAATATAACATTAATATCGAATAGGAATAGAAGGTTATGCGGGTACGAACGATAAATTAATAACGAGAGAATTAATATTTCAAGATTAGAGTTCAATTCTCATTATTGGTTTTTTAGCCTCGTTTCATTCTTTTCTATATATATATATATATATATATATATATATATATATATTCGTAGTTCGTTGACTCAAGTTATCAGAACAAATGGTAGATAGTTACTTGAATTTTGAAATAAGGCAGAGCCATCTAACCCAAGATAGAAGTTGCTTGGCAACCAAACATTTTTTTTTCATCAAAAAGGTGTTTTAAAGTGATCATCTCTTTTGATTTCTCACTCTTCAAACTTCTTTTGGTGATTTTGTGAAAGAAGACAAGTTTAATTTATTCCTGCGATTTATGTAGGTATGTATAACTTAAATAAATAAATAAAATGTACCTACATATTTCATATCATTTTGTGAAATACACACTTTTTTAAATTATCAGCGATTTGACATTGTGTTTGAAATTCATGATGATTCTTAAATTTTGAAGATACCTTCTTCTAATTGTCCTTGTGTAATGATACAGGTTCATCAGCCATGGCAGAAGGAGAAAGTGAGAAAATCCTGGCATCCGTACGTTACTATGGAGATGAGACAAATACAGTTGCTATAGTTGATCCAGCCTTAATACTTGATTATGCATCGATTGAAACATTTAACTTTAATGTTCCACATCTTATTCATCGAATCAAAAATGGTGAAAGAATTACTGAGCCAGTACAAGTGTTTGCTATATCAGGTGAAGAAATATGCATTTATAAATATTCATCATATCAACATTAGATGTGCTTCAGAGGAATTGAATATATCTTAAGTTCAATGTTTGTTTTGTTACTTTATATTCTGAATGATAAGTTCTGCCTTCACATTTCACACAGATAATGTAAATGAACTCATTCACCCTACAAAGAGGAGAGTTTTTGACAAGAGAAGAAAGAGTGATGTGATGTATGAGATTTTGGAAAAACAAAAAACAATGATCGAAACGAAAACCAAAAAATCAATCCCTAGCAATGACGACGAGCTCATAGATGAAGCATCAATCATCACAACATCTTCTCAGTCTGGAAATTCAAAAAACATTCATGAGTTGAAAGCAATAGAGAAGGTACTGTTTTATTTAGCATTCAATTTTAATTCAATTCAATTTAGAAATATTTCTAATCTAAAAAATTTTATGAATGTTGATTTTCAAAATATTTTTATAGAAAATAAAAGAAAATGCACGAGCATTTTCAAAATCATCAGAAAGTGAAATTCTTAAAAAAAAAAATAGAAAACTTAAAAAAGAACAAATTAGTCTATTCAAATGATGGTACTGACCTAGAAAAGAAACAAAAAGAGATCAATGATCTACACATGTCCATCGAACTAAAAAATGGAGAGTTTGAACAATTAAAAAAAAACCAGCAAGAATTAGAAGCAAAGATAGCAAATTATGAAGAAGATTCTAAGTTTTGGCGAAGCAATTATGAAAAGAACCAAGAATTTATGGAAGAAAGCAAGAAACTTATTGAAACTTTGCAGAATGAGCGTCAGAATACTGCTCCAGAAACTATTTATAAATCTCATGGTAAGAATATTTACTTTCAACCTTAATACAATACGAACAATAAATATATAAAACATACATTGTTTTTTTTTATTTACAGAAACATTACGCCAAAAGAGACCACCACTGAATTCTAAAACTGCTTTAAATCTTCATGGTGATCACTCGCCCGATACATCTGCTATGGATAGTCACGGTGATTACTCGTTTCAAGATTTTCCAGGACACTTTGAGGATAATGAAGAGGAATACAGTCTTGGAATACTGGAATCAAGTCGTGGTGGAAAAATGTCAACAAATGAAAGTCTTGGATCTGGCTCAGCCAAAGGTATCAATTACTAAAACATATACATAAGCACGTCCACCCTACTATCAGTCTGTAGTACTATTTCTCTTTCTCTCTTCAAAATAACTCATATGAAAATACGACGGGCTCCCGTACTATAATTCTCAGCCAATCCATCGCGAATAAGCAGGCTTCGCTTTCTTCGGGGTCTCTATTGTATAACTGACTTCTTCCAACAAATATTTTTTTATAGATGAAGAGAATTTTCAGTACGATAAAAAAAAGGAGAGGAGTAGAAATGAGATAAACCACAAGAGAGTGAAGGAACCCCGAGAAAAAGCCATTAAGAAAAAACGGACGGCTGGAAGTGAAGGATTCGATGACATGAGCGATATCGAAGAAGAGTGTGAAAAAAAATCTCGTAAGTGATTTGAAACGAGAGCATGGCTACGCTCGGTCAAACCCTTACTCGAGTCTATAGTCTGCCCTCTCTCTCTCTTTCTCTCTCTCTTTCTCTCTCTCTCTCTCTCTCTCTCTCTCTCTCTCTCACTGATTATTCAATAATTCGAAAATGGCAGGTCCGAAGAAGTTCAAGAAGCGATTTGTACGAACAAAAAAGTACGCAAACTTCCACAGTTCATCAGATTCTGAATGTAATGAGAAGAGAACTTTCACGCGGGGCAGTGATGACGAGTATGAACCGGAAAATCTACGGCAATCAGAGAATCATCAAAATTACAAGTCGTATTATGCAGAAACTGGAAAGAAGGTAACAACGATAATATTACGTACAAACAAATTTCTGTCCCCCCTCCCCCCCCCCCTTATCATATACCTTCCAGGTAGAACTGGCACGTGAGTAGGGTGCGGATTCACTTCGGAAATAGTTTGTAATTCATACGGCAAGCTAGTGCATGGAAGTTTCAATTATGTCGACGACGCACTAATTTTGAAACTTTAGAAAAACGTATTGTCCGCTTTACTATTTACCATGAATTAAACTCTGCGACGTTGTTTTGTGAGTAATTCTCACGAACTCGCTTGCAGTTTTAATTGCAAACTATTTCCGAACAGTTTCTGTAGCCTATCCGAGTGCCATTTTTTTCTGAAAAGTATATTAAAGGGGGGGGGGATTATTTTTATCTGTTTTTTTTTATTATATAGAGACACATGTACCACCTTATGTGTGACATAAGTATTAAATACAAGACGTGGGATACGCTGAAAAAAATTTTTGACATGAAAGAGTGGATCAGAGTATTAGTCCACGCGATGTTCAAGGAAGAAGATCTAATAGGGAAGACGTTTAATCTTGCAGGATGCAAGATCGATCGTTTACCAGGGATAACCCGATCAGAATTTAAGCGGGAGGAAAAAGCTGCTATAAGACGTAAATATTTTCGTATCACAAAGGCACTGGAATATTGATATATATATATAGCAGCTACAGCGGTTTGAATGCGGTACTTTTTTAAAAAAATGCGATTTTCAACCCGAATTAAAAAAACACCGTTTTAATTTGTTTTTCAATTCGAATTTTTTTTTCTGGTAGTGTTTGACTAGTATATACTCCTCGCAAAGTATCGCTAATGGTTTTTTTATTCTCATCGAGAAATTTTTTTTTTTTTAAATTGAAAAATTCTATTTTTTGAAAAAACCGCTGAAAAAAACAACAAAAAATGTATCATGGTTTATTTTGCAATTAACAAAGAAAAATCATGTATGAATCACGTTTTTTTTCAATTGCAAAATAAACAATGATACATTTTTTTATTGCAAAACTGTTTTTTTCAAATGATCGATTTCAATTGTAGAAACATTTTTTTGCCGATGCGACCAAGTCGTGAAACGGAGGCGAGAAGCAGAAATGCACAAAAATAATTGGAAATCTTACATAAGCGAACATATCAACTCGCTGTTTATGAAAGAAAAGGCAGAACGTAAGTTTTTTTCATAGATTAATGTAAAAGAATATTGGTAAATATATGTATAGTATAATGTAATAAATCTTCCAGGTGCAAAAATTGAGAAAAAGCAAAAAATTAAAGCAAAAGCTACAAAGGAACCTCAAGAACAATTTAGTCTGTCCTCCGACGATTCATAAAACGTTTTGTTTGCTCAAAAGTCATTCTTGCGATAGTTTTGTTTGATATTATTAGTCTAAATTTTCGACCAAAATTATTGGCTAAAAGTTTTTTAATACTTCGTTTTCAAGCTCGTGATTATACTTATCTAGTAAATACTCATAAAAATGTTATTATACTTTGCTGTGATTATTATTAAATGTTCAAATAATCCACGTGGTTTCTTGTTCTAGTCCCCATTTATTGAGATGAAAACACCAAATCATCTTTGTTTGCTCAAAAGTCTTTCTTGCGATAATTTGGTCTGATATTGTTGGTCTAAATTTTTGCCTGGAATTTTCGACCAAAATTTTTGCCTGGAATTTTCGACCAAAATTCTTGCCTGGAATTTTTGGCCAAAATTTTGAAACAAATTGTCGACCGAAATTTTTGGCCAAAATTATTGGGCAAAAATTTTCGGCAAATTTTTTCAACAGGGATTTGTCCTTAATTCTGAAGATTAGGTTACTACATAACGCACACCTCTTACTTCTCTAATATATTTATCTCTTTGGTAGCACCAGCTACAGCCAAAATATTCATTACACTGGATTCTGTTTTATAAAATCCGACGTTCAATGGCACCTACAATGCAACCGTCTATAAAATTTGATTACTTTTTCACTGGTATCGGTCAACAATTTAACACCTTCAGCAATTATCATTTTTATTTGATCAACAAATATAGTTATACATATAAATTTAATAATTCACTTGGTTCATTCTCAGTTAACATAAAATCATATAACAATATATGATTAAATCTATTTTTCACAGATAGATCGTTTAAAATAACTTGAATCGGCCGAAATCCTTTTTTGCCACTTTTTGTCAATGGAGCTCCATCTGTACTAACGTTAACGGTTCCTACATTATAACGGGGTAGATATTTGCCCGCGTTATTTCGCGAGAGATCAATAAATATTTTATACAGCTCGATGCGGGCGTACGACAACCACATGAGACTATGCCCGGATACTTAGTTACGCCTTAAGGCCCGCGGGAGCGTCGTAAGTTCAACAGCTAGTCTTCAAGTTAATTCACCAACGGGAAAAGCGTGGAAAGTTGTAGAGTCAGGTGTAAATAAGAAAATGGGTTGCATAAAATAAATGATATTTATACAGCTTGTAAGTTTACATAGAAAGCAGCGCGGCGATAAAGAGAGAGAGAATAACTAGCTAGCGAGAGAGAGACAAGGTACACAAGTAGGTACTTACAAATGCGTACGAGGCCACGGATGAGCCTTATCAAATGCTTGAATACAGGGGAACGATTGGCTAGCTTGCACCGGAATAGTCCCACACACTAACTTGCAACACTGTGCACTATTTACGGTGGGAAGTCTCTCCTTTCTACTGCCGCTGGGCCAAACCAGAACGTCTCAATGAAGATGAGTAATATCTCGACTTCTTTTTGAAAGCCGGCCGGCAGGAGCACGTGTGTTTTTGGCCGCGATTCTCAAGCTAATGTCGCGGGGGCGTTCCCCACTCTCTCTCCCCTACTCTGTCGAGCCTAAGTCGGTTCCTGTCGCGCGGCCGTCTCTCTCTCTCGCACGTCAGCGCGCCTTCGGTTTGGATCGGCACGAGCTTATCCTTCCTCTCGCTAGTTCGCGAGGCAAATTAAGTATTCTCTCTCTCTCTCTTACCTCGTACTCTATTGTCTGCTGCGGCAGCCACTTCTAGGCTTTGTACATAAAATTACATAAATTAATATAAATATAAGTATATAAGTATATATATATAAGAGTGGTTGTTTGAGAGAGAGAGATATAACGAGTGGTTTATCACACGTTATATTTCCCTCCCCCAGACGTTGGTAACGCCGGCGGTACCCACTCGATACCTTGATCTCTCTCGCCCTGGGAAGAAAACTACCAGGGGTATAGGAATGACAAAGACCGCTATTCATCGGGCGGGTCGTTGAGTGTAATGGTTTAGGACAAAATGAGTATAATAACCAGACTGGATAAGAACCATAATGTTTTATTACAAGTAGCCCCCTTACTCTCCCTCGCTTTATTTACAAGACTTAGAAGTTAGGATTAAGGCAATGCCAAAAAAAAGAATTAAAGAAAGCAGTTGATTCACGCGGATTACAATATATTATTAGTTTGACGCGATAAACGAAACGCGTAACAGTCCCAGCTCGAATTTCCAGTGCTGGAAAAAGTTCGGTCAGTTTTCTGTCCTGCTTACGCCGGTGAGGTTGCACACAAAGCAGTACCGGACACCTCTCTTTGGCACATTAGGCCCATCCCACTTGCCGCAGGGCTTGGTAGCACACATGTGCTTCAGCGCGTGGTGCTGAGGGACCAGGTTCTGGTTGCCCTCGCAATAGTGAGCGGCTTGAGCCCTATGAGCCAGCTCCCGGCGCTGATCGAGAGAGAATTGGACCTCTCTCGACGCTAGGTCTTCGGCTTCGGCGGCGGGATTGGATGGGACCTGTGACACCCCCGCAGGCACGGAAAGCGGTCGGACTTCCGCTTCCAACAGATTTAGCTGGGCCAACTGGCGCTGGATCTCTTCCCTCTTCCGGCGCTTTTGTTCCTGGAGTTCCAGCAGGCGAGCTCGCTCCTTCTGGATATTTTTCGCCGTATCCCAGCAAGACGCTGCATCGGCTAGGAAAACGCGGCGCTCCACTTCGTCTTGGACCTTGGAGATCAGATCTTCGGGGGCGAGGGCCCGGATCCGTTGGTCAGGATGGTTGGCCAGGGCTAGGGCCTCGGAGTAGGCCTGGCCTTCGGCTTGCTCAGCCTTACGGCGAGCCGCTCGAAGATCCTTTATCTTCTGCCTAATGGCCGACCATTGTTCTTGGAGGGAGACGGCATTGGCCATATCTCCTCCTTGACGGGTCGAGGCAGTAGGGGCCGGAAGAGCCGGTACCCAAGGCTGGGCTAGGGCCTCACGGATGGGTTGGCGACCACCGGCTGTATCGGCCCAGGTTAGGAGCAGCTCTTCGATTGAGGGGAGCAGAGGAATTAGCTCGGAAGGGTGGCCGTTCGCATGGCCATTTCGTTGACCATTTCCAAAAGCCGGGTGGCAACGAAGCGCGGAACCTCGACCTTAACGGTCTCTTGCTTACCGGACATTTGCCGTACCGGTAACATGATCTGTAAGGAAGATCGTCGTTTATAGTACGTGTATGAATAATAACATAATATGTTCGAGAAAAAGCAAAAACATAGCTTATTATATAATGAGCGTTAGAGCGGTAAGAAAGGTTAGTGACAAGATAGCGTATATTCATTAATAACTACGATGAGGGATTATGTCGCGAACGTAGTCGGCGGGGAGAAAGTATAACTGGTGGCCACGCAGGTGGTAGATTTAGGCAGGACTTACGGGGCCTACCTCTCTTACGTGGAGCTACCGCCTCCTGGGCGGGTAGAGCTTGGCTTGAGTCTGGCTGAGAAGTCAGGTCGGCTGTAGAAGAAGGCGTAGCCATTGTAGTAGAGGCCTGAGTCGCCGAACGGTCCACTGCCTCCGGGTTCTTCTTCCGAATAGCTAAATCATGTTGCCCTTCTGTGTCGTCTACCGGTTCTAAGGGGGCGTCGTGGGGGAATTGTTCCTTGTCGTTGCATATTTTAAGCTGATTTACAGCTACTTTTCCAATATTTACTCCACTTTCTGATTAGAGTAGGTAGGAATTCATTCCCAAACGTTTAGTCACGATGAACGGACCATAGAATTTCGGGCAGAGCTTGGCGGCAATGGCTTTAGCCGCCGAAGAGAGGACATGATTTTTCGCCCAGACTTTGTCACCAACATTATAGACGACGTCGCGATGGCAGACGTTAAAGTACTTTTCCTGTCGCGTTTGCGCGGCTCGGCTGTTTTCCAGAGCTCCAGCTCGTACTTCGACGAGTTTTTTCATACGGTCGCTCCATTCCTCACGGGCAGTGGTCTCCAATTGTAGAACCGCCGCGCGCTCCTCCTCGCGTCGAACTGTGCGAGGGGGCGCTGGATGTCACCCGTAGTTGAGAAAAGCAGGGCTTGAGCGAGTAGCTTCATGAATGGCTGAGTTATAGGCGAATGTGATTCCGCTATGTGCTCATCCCATTTCGCATGCTTGTCTTCAATGAAAGCGGCAATCATAGTTTTAATAGTCCGATTTACCCGCTTGGTGGGGTTCGACTGTGGGTTATACAGAGCGCAAGTTCCATGGATCATTCCGTGTGACTTCAGGAACTCATCGACTAACTTGTTTTTGAAGGGCGTGCCATTATCCGAAAGAAAACGGTCAGGGGTTCCGAAGCGAAGGAAGACCCGTTGATTGAGTTCTTTCTTAATGGTTTTACCGTTAACCTTACGGATCGGAATGCATTCCTGTAGCGCTAGGAGAGAACCTCAGCGAAATTCACATTTGAATTCCTTTAGCTCAGTCAAACAAACAACAAGTGAATAGTGTAAGCAAAGATTACGTCAATCCACTGTAGTCAAGTGAAATAAAGTTCTATCTTAAACTAAATAAATCAAGGAGTCAAATCATTTCTCAGCGTGCGAATCAACCTTCTCCACATACATTTTACCACTTATCCCTTACGTAAATATGAACGAAATCATATCAAATGATTTAAATATACTCATTTTAAAACGGAAACAATAAATCATTAGTTTTTTACTTGAAACTATTATATTAAAATTGTTTATTTTCACATATATCGTATTTTTGAAAGGCATGATTATTGAAAAGACTAGAATCGCGAATATTTTTACGTAATCACTGCGATTTCAGGAATGTTTGCTTTTTTTATTTAAGATACACAGTGACACAACGTAAAAAATTTGATAAGAGCTATTTTTTAGTGCCTTAACATTATTAGGCTTGAAGCGAAAATTTATGAAAATTAAGGCTGACAATTTAAAAATTTTCAATCAAAGCATTACCAAACCTAAGCATTACACCACCAACTGATGGTGTAGAAGCTTATTCTAGAGCAATTAGTGAATGGGTTAAAATGTATAACAATACTCCGCTGTAAATGTCACTTAATGGTACAGCGATTCAACGCCCAAACGTAGCGAAATTTCACACTGCTTTTATCAATCACATCACTGGATAACGCTAACTTTTATTTTTTTTTT